CCCCCCCCCCCCCGAAAAACCATTTGCGGGTTCGTAAAAGATGTGAAAAAATAATCCAGAAATAGCTTGACAAATCACCGCAAACCGCGCTTCAACATCTACATCCGGTACCTTGTAGCAGCCGAAGTTCGACTATAAAATACCTGCAAATATGAGTAAAAATCGGGGACTTTGCCCCCCCATATCTTAAAAACGGTGCGTATACTCAATCTGAAATTTTATTATGTGTAAAGGGTCACCCTATAGATGAAAAAAAACCTCACACCGACCCCAATTTCGAGGGCCCAAAAACGGGCGAATTTGTGCATGGCTCTTTTCCCTCCTCTTTCTGATCTCAATACTTCACTTTCAAAATTGAAGCACTGGTGCAAGGGCGTTTCTTGGTTGCAGTGTCTCAAAATCTCTGCTAACGTTTCATCCATAATGATAGGGGCAAATGTATGAAATTTGCTGTTAGTTACTTTGACTGAATATTCTTCATGACTTCACAGTAGGTACTGAAAACGTAAACTTTCAGAAAATTCCCCCCATAGTTTCCTTTCTGAAATAAAAATTAGGACTGGAGATTCTGAAACACCGCAACCGAGAAATGCCCTTACAGCACTCAACGCCTCAATTTTCGCACCATATCCCTCCCTTTTTCAAGCAACTTAATCGCCAAATTTAATTACATTACATGAATTTGAATGGCATGTATTTTCATGATCTATGACCCGGAATCGGTACTTTTCACAAGGTCTCGGGTAAGGGTCCAACATCATGGGAGAATGCAATAGTGTACCTATTATCTTTGGAGAATTGGTTGAAAATGCACTAAAAAGAGAGGGAAAATGGTGTAATCCTATAGGTCGAACTGAGTGGTTCTCATGGGCCAAGGAGAAAACAATAAACTAACAGAAGGATCTCTCATGAGTTGCTATTAATTATTCCATCACTTTTCTCCTTTGTCCATTGCAAAAACCCGCTTCCACCCGATAGGATAGCTCCATTTTCCGCTTGTCCATAGCTTCATGAATCAATTTCAAATAAGAGGGTGCAGGACCTACTCGACAGATGCGAGAAGCAGCAATACCTTACGAACACATGTGAACATCTCAGAGGGCATTTTTCCCTGTTGTGACAGAATTTCAACCCACTTGTAGAAATAATGAGATAATCACCGAGCAAATTTAAACACTGATGAGACTTGGGTGGCAAAAAAATATCGATTTTTAACTCTACAAAACGACAAAACTACATTAGTATAATGTATATTGTTGGAGGAGAGGGCAATAGAGCATTGATTCTTCCACAAGAGCTCGCTCATCTTACGTTGAGACAAATATCAATTTCTGATTAGCTCCAAACCTGCACCACTCAACTGGTTAATACATGCTATCAGATGAGAATGAGAATATTGATGGGTAATGACAGAAACAATACTTGTCATTCCTCTCCACCTCAATGTTTAGAAATATCTTTTCTTGAAAATAAGCATGAGACTCACGCTTGGTTCCAGGTAAAGGAGCGGCTTGGGGATTGAACCTATGTTCCCTCCTCCAAATTACCAGCTCATTCCAACCATTTTCACTGTCACTGGAGTGTGTGAGGATAATCAAAATTGTTGAGCATACAACTCTACTATATCCTAAATTTTCCCCATATAAAAATGTGAATTTTTCGAAAGAAACATATTAGGTACCTGTCTCATAAAGCTACTATCCGCCGATCAAGAGATGGCTAGGAGTAAAAACCTGATGATCACAGGAGGCCTGATGGATGATCAGGGGAGAGTCAAAGTGAATTTATTCACTTCAATTTTGTTAAAGATCACTTTAAGAGGGTGATGGAAAAGTTTCACTGCGGATTCCACTGGATGAAAAATTACTTAACAAAATATAAGTGCAATGGCGACAAGATCCAAGGTACTTGTTGATAGAGAACATCTTACATAAGAGTACACAGTAAAAGTTGCAGAAAACCAATCATTGCAACAGAGCCTGAAATTTTTAGAAATGCTTGATGTTAAAATGTAGGATTCTTCACCAGATACCTACTACCTTTTAGCCACAAACTTGCTTGGGGTGACGAGGCTTTTCACTGCAGCTCCTTGGAGACCCCAGAATCAGGTCCTTATGGAACGCTTGGGAGCAGTTCCACTCGGTTCATGTAAAAATCTTGATAATCCAGTCAAGTACGTAATACCCGGAGAGTCACCATTAGACAACTGAGGCGATTGAATTCAAGACACAGCACCAATAGCCTTGCAGACTGGTGATTGAAATTGATAGACAGAAGCGATGGACAAAGAAAACGAAGGGAAAGAAGAGTGATCCTCCGTGGAAGCAGGTGGCTGCGATGGAAAAGGTAGAGATGAATGAGGATTGAGGAAGCCTTCTCACCTACCGTTTCTTCTTGGGCCCTATACATAACAATGGCTGTAAAATTTGCTTGATCAATGCATGTGCCATCCTCAATCTTCTGAGAAAGACTTTGAGGCATATGAATGATATTATTTATACGTCAAGAAAATTGAAGATAAAAAAACGAAAGATTGCAAAATCCATCAATGAGTCAACTAGTGGGGCGACATGACAAGTAATGGTAAATAACAGTATCAACATCTGAGTGTATACCTACTATATGTGGGTGAAAAGCTGCGTCAGAAATTAAAATTCCATGTAATCAAGAAAATGCACATTCCTAGAGGTTGCGAAATGAGAATTGTGGGGGGAGGGGGGCAATGGAACATTGGAAGCTCTCGCTCTCACCAGCCACAGCCACGGCATAAAATCTAACGCCTTTTACAGCATAGAAGGTACTGTAGCCTATGCTGTAGCCAGCGACCAGTTCTACAGGACCTTGGACTCCCGTAAGCCCGTAAGAGTCAATGTAAAAATTCGTGAGCAGGTACTAGTGCTGCTCTCTCGCGTAGGATCCTCGCAACTCACTGCTGTTATCAGTTGTTGGACTTCATTAATAAAATCCGTAGGATCGCGTATAACTGCAAAAAATCGAATTTTGCACCGAACTGATACGTACCGCAAGCCCGGCCTTGTCAAAAGGGGTCGAAAAACGCCAAAAATATACTTATTTTTCAAGAATTCAGCCGCCTTATGTGTTATTTTTCAATCTCCGGCTTAACCTCACTTTGGAGCGGGCGATGGATGAGTCGAGGTTCGGGGGGAAGGATCCTCTGAGTTGACTAGGATCCTACGCGAGAATGCGCTGCAATCACTCGCTCACAACACCACAACAGAACGGCGTCCTATAGAACTCGTCCTATGGAACGCCGTTAGTGTCAAAACCCTTTTCTTGCGCGCGTGGAATTTTTTCTGGCGCGCGGAATTTTTTTTCGGCGCGCGGAAAGAAAAAACCCATTTTCGATGAAAATCTCTGAATTTCCGGATTCCGCGCCGGTTTTCGATATATTTGCGCCGTTTGTGTCAAAACTATTTTTGTCGGCGCGCCGCTTCAAATCTGTTCCGCGCGCGGAATTTTCGATATATAGATTCCTGCTCGCCGTTTGTGTCAAGCCTATTTGGTAGAGTCCCTTTCTATAGGACGCCGTTCTGTTGTGAGCGGGTGATTGCAGCGCATTCTCGCGTAGGATCCTAGTCAACTCAGAGGATCCTTCCCCCCGAACCTCGACTCATCCATCGCCCGCTCCAAAAGTGAGGTTAAGCCGGAGATTGAAAAATAACACACAAGGCGGCTGAATTCTTGAAAAATAAGTATATTTTTGGCGTTTTTCGACCCCTTTCATCTAAGGTGGGCTCGCCGTAGAGTACCTGAATAGCGAGAGTATAGACAGATGTGAAACTCCGAAAATCCATCAGGCCTTCACCGATGCCTCCGCGAATAAAGTTAGGGCCCAGAAATGCAGTCAACCTATGAATTTCAATTATCCAGAACGATTTATTAATACAATTCTTACGAACCATCGTTTATAAAGCACGTATTTGACTTAGTTTTTGCATAAAATTACTCATTTTTGTGGAAGAACGCTCATTTATGTACTTTCCTAGCCATCTTCGTAAGAATTAGAATCTACCGACTGGCAGTGAAATTTAGTGCGTCAGAAGTTGGTTAGAAGGGTGGCTGCACTTTTGGGCCCTAAGCCCTCCATGAAGCGATCTGTCCATACTCTCGCTATACAGGTACTCTAGCTCGCCGCACATTACGTTACGGTGAAAAATTCGATTTTTTGCAGTTGTACGCGATCCTACGGATTTTAATGAAGTCCAACAACTGATAACAGCAGTGAGTTGCGAGGATCCTACGCGAGATAGTAGCACTAGTACCTGCTCACGAATTTTTACATTGACTCTTACGGGAGTCCAGGGTCCTATAGAACTGGTCCCTGGTGAATCTCTAGCGATTTAGGGACAGAAACCGCCACCACGTCGCGCTGCTACGTGAGCGAGTCTTTGAAAGTGAATAATTAACTAAGACTTGAAATTCATGCAAAAAATCGACCGAATACGCGTAGCAGCATACATTCTGAGTAGAATGATACCAAATTTGTGGGTATTATTAGCAAAAATATACCCGAATTTATGCAGACCAATTTCTTTATGGGCGGGTCAATGTGTAAGAGAGAGACAGCATGCTGTGACGTTTGTTTACATCTGGTCGCTTCCCTCCCCCCCCCCCCCCCCCC